ATAGTATAGATAGATTAATTTCATTTTGAAATCATTGCTTCACATATTTAAATTATTTAGTTTTTCTTTAATAATTATTATAAACATAAATGATATTGTACCAATTAATTTATGATATTTATCAATTTGTATTTTTTTAAAAAAATATAAGATTTACACATGTTATTAGATGTTAAAAAATATTTTAAAATTATTTTTTATTAGTAAGTATTTTTATTTTAAAAATATTTTCCGGCAACACAAACCCTCCCTTGGTCTCCTATCAAAAACTAATAAAGAAAAGTCATTTCATTAAGAAAATTAAAACTAATTAAAGTAAATCTAATCATGCTATATTTATTTGTAATTGTACATTAATTTCATTTTGAAATCATTGGTTCACATATTTGAATTACTTATTTTTTTTCTTTTAATTATTATAAACAAAAATGATATTATACTAATTAATTTATGACATTTATCGAATTGTATTTTTTAAAATATAGTGTTTTACTCGTTCGTTGCACGAAAAATTTTTGTTATTAAGAATTTAAAATTGAAAATAGACAAAAATGAAAAGATGTTAAACTCTACAATATATAATAATATAGTTGGACTTTTATATATTTGGTCAAGTATCTATTTTTATAACATACAAAATTTAAATTTTGTATGGTTAATATAATCTCTAAACATTACAGATTGTCAGATTTAGATAAATTTATAGAAAAAATTTACATAATTAAGTTGATTTATTCCTAATTATATTTCATATATATTCTAATTCTAAAAATATGTATAATAGCTATCAAAATTATAAATACTTAGAAATCAATTTAAAAATGTAAATTTCAAATTTTGTATGAGTAAATTTAAACTCTAATCAGACGCATTTCCTTATATGATTGTATAATACACTGTATATACACATAATATTTATTAATATGTACATAGGAAAGTTATATAATATAATTTCATTAATTAAAATTTATATTGATAGATTTTATTGAGCAGTTAGCATTATTAGGATTGTTAGAATAATTCTATGTTAGTTTCCTATCATTTAGCTCTTCTTTGTGTATATAAAGCCTGTAACCTCATTCTCTAAAATACACTGAAATAAACACTATTATGTGCACTCATCGATTTATGATTAAAAATTACATTTAGAAATTAAAAAAAAAAAAGTAACATTTAAATTTTGTATTATTATTAGTATAGTGCATAAGTGCATGTATTATCTAAAAAAGTGTATGTATGTATATTTATTTAAAATTATAAATATTTATGTTTTGTTAATTTTATAATTTCATTTTTCTTAATTATATTTCATATTTTATTAATTATAATTTAATGAAATTGTCACAAATATTTCCATGGAAGAAATCTTATATTCATTATTGAAAAGAGATATAATTTAAAAAGGAAATTATTAATTAGATTATCTTAATATAATTGTCTTACTAATTGATTCTATGCATATATAATTCATATATTTGAAGACTTTTTAAAGCTAAATACCTATTAATTGCCTTAATAATAATTAAGATTATTTTTAGTCATTCAATATTCAATAGTACTAAAAGTATTACTTTGATTTTTTATAAATAAGATATAATATTATTAAATCGAAATAATTAAAAATAATGTGTCCATAGTACAAAAGATTTTATAATGGTAATTTTTATTGCCTAATAGAATTTGTCAATTATTAAATATTATTTATGGTAATTATGCTAAATTTACAACATCAAATAATATCTCAAAATCAACTTAGTACTTAAAACTGAAATTACTATACAACAATATTTTTTCCTCAAAATAACAAATAATTAAACTTTATTCCTTCTCAACTTGAATTCATCCCAAATTCCTATCATGTTCACCTGTATAAATAATTTAACACAAAAATAGAATGTAGACAAAAATTAGCATAAGCTAAGCAAGTTTCACTTCACACCGTAAAATAATGGCTTGGATTTTTTATATTTTCAAAACTCATATGATTTCATACTTTTCCAAAATACATGTGGAGTTATACATTTCCGAAACTGAATCATAACTGATGTGATACCCCCTCATGGGATTTCAAACCCAATGAGTAGTAAATAGTCCAAGTAAACAGTACTCACTCTTACAGCATATTTCTAATGAAAGCACCATGAAAATTTCAAAAAAACAGTACTCACTCTTACTTGGACACCACACAATATATTAATTTCTCAAAATTTTATTATTTCTCCCGAAATAAATAGTTTCTCCACAAAAATACAATTTTCTCCAGAATATATAATTTTATCCAGAATATATAATTTTCTCAAAATACATTTTTCAAAAAAAAAAAAAAAATTCTCCACATGATTTGTCCAAAATATAATTATAGATAAATGTACTTGTGTTCACATGAATAACATATATCATATAATATCACATATAATATCAATACATACAATATACTCAGGAAAAATAATAATTTTGGTGAATATAAAATGTTACTCTTGAAGGCAAACTTTCTATCAACCTTAATAGCATCCTAACCACCTTGATAAGAAACCTGTGAATCAAATAATAAATCCAATAATAATAATAACCGAAGCATATTATTCATTGATCATCATCATCAATCTAACAAACTTAGATTTAAACAAAAGAATTTGGAGAATAGAAACAATTACCTGAAGTAGAGATTAAGTGAATGAGTTTTGCTAGGATTGAAGAAGACGTAGGAATAGATAGATAATCAAGAAGAACCAGTAGTGTGAGGGAAGATGAATGAATGTCAAAGTCTATAATTTGTATTTATAGGTGTAAAATAATAATTCGAAAGGAAAGTATAATAATTTATTTTAAAAATACAGAAAATAAAGTAAGTAAGGTAATAAAATTATTATTATTATTATTATTATTATTATTATTATTATTATTATTATTATTATTATTATTATTATTATAGGGATATAGATTAAAATAAATATTAATTGTATATAATGTCTCTATATATATATATATATCACACGAAATATTTACTATATTTAATTATTTAATTATTCTTTTACTACCTAATTTATATATTATTAGTATCAATATATACATATATATATATATATATATATATATAGGTTTACATTCAGGTAAAAACACATCTTAAAATATAAACTTGTGGACAATTTGAGGCCGTTGGATAGTGGTATTGGATGGTCCTGATGGTTGCTGATGCGTGTATGGTTTGTACGGTAAGTGTTGGTTGTTTTTATTTTTTTGGGGTTATTTGTGGTATTTTCCACATGGTTGTGACCTACTCTAATTAGTCCACATTCACAACATCCACGCGCATCATACTTCTTCAGAGTCTTGCGTATGTCCGCTTCTCGCTCTATCCCCGTGCGTTGTATACACTACCGAGCGTCGCATCATCGTTGCTTCTTCATCCTTCAATTTTGTCTTCCACGTAGCAATGGTAGTGAGTGAGGACCGCGGCACGTCAAAGAGGGGGGGGGGGGGGGGGGGCACCGCCGGCAACTGTCGGCCGAGGTACGTATTTCGCGTCGTTTTTGTATTTTTTTTTCAATTTCTTCTTGTGTTTTGCGCGTGTTTGTAGCCATCGTAGGTGGTTTGTGGGGTGGCAGAGTGGGTTTTTCGCCGGGCTTATGTCGGAATTTTAAGTTACGGTTTTTTTTTTTTTTTTTTTTGCATGGATTAGAGGGTTCAATTGCTATCTGTTTTTGAATCCAATGCCTAGATAATGTTAGTTTGAGTATTTTGTTGCTGTTTTTTATGCCTAGATGATGCTAGATTTTTCAAATTTAAGAGTTCAATGTTCAATGTTTTCCAATTGTGAATTAAAGATAAGTATTTTGTTGCTGATTTTGATGCCTAGATGATGCTAGTTTTTTTAAATTTAAGAGTTCAATGTTCAATGTTTTCCAATTGTGAATTAAAGATAAATAAGTTCTAAAGTTCGTGGTATTGGACTGTGTTCTGTGTTTGTTATGCAGGTTTTTTTTTTTTTTTTTTTCTTTACCTATTCGGCAGTGGGGGCTGGGATTTTGTTTGATTCCAATTCCTTTCAACTGTGTCATGCTTTGTATATAATGTTTGATGCTACTCAATGTTGGAGTCTTTGGAAATTTGACGTTAGATTTTGCTATATTGTCATTTCGTATGTGTAGTTATGGTGACAAAAAAATTCAAGAATATAAAATAAATGTGCAAGCATCAATTCGTAGTTAGGAGGTGTTTGTTTTAATTTTTTTTTTTTTTTAATTTGTCTGTTTTATTTTGTTGTTACCATTTTTTGGTTTCTACATTGTGTTCTGTTTTTGGGTACTTCATGAGTTTTTGTTATAGTGGTTTGGGTACTCGATCAGTGCATGTTAATTGTTGTAGGTGTGTGCATTGTTTGCCATTCTTGCGTGCTCAGGCTTAATATTTTTAGTTTGATTAATTTTGCTCTGTGCATTTCGTTTTGGCTTTATTTTATGCCTGTAAAATGGATTTCTTTAAAACCTTACTGATGTACAAATATAAGGATTTCAGTATTTAGATTAGTGTGATGTGGCATTTTTAATTGGATGTATTACTCCTTTAAATCTTAGCCATGTAATTACAATTTAATTGGGTGCTAATATTTAGTATTATTATAGTTGTGTGCATTGTTTTATTCTGTTTGTGTGCTAGAGTGGTTTAAGTGTGGTCATGGTGGGGTGGAAAACTGAAGGGAAAAATGCAATTGACGGATGCCTAGTATCTAATACATGAACCTTTTTGCAAACATGGTCACAATTGTTAACTTTAGATCATTTTAAGAGTCCTGCATTTGACAAGATATTAGCTGTTTATTCAATTATATTGCATTTGATTATAGTTGCGCATATGTTCATTTCTAAAATGATATGTTGCATTTTAGTCATTAAGTACTCATTCTGTACACTTCTTAGAAGCTTAAACCTTTGAAATTTTGAGTTAATCCTTTATTTATTTATTTATTTATTTTTGTTTGATTTTTTTTTTTAACGACAATGGCAGTTGTTCTTCTATTCTTTCATCACGCACTGATGTACCAAACTAAGTGTATTATTGAAACTCCTATATTGTTATTAGTCCTATTTAATTATAAGTTTTCATTGTTTCCCATTGCCATTGTTCGTTTCACTGGCGTGTGTTTTGTAGTTGTGTGCACTCTCAACGCAAACTGGGAGTGTTTAGCCACATCATTTTAGTATACTCACAATAAGGCCAAAATCATGGTCTATAGGTGCACACTGTGACTATTAGCGCAAAAAAAAACTTCAAATAATCCAATAATTAATATATATCATACTTAAAATAATTTTTGTTGTTGTGTTGTCTGGTTGTTGCAGGTAAGAAGTCAAAGGTATCTCATTCTCAACCTGGTGTCTCGCACAGTTGCAAGAGCGATGATGATTTTGTTTGGCCACCTTTGACGTTCCTTGCGAGACTGCAATAAGTCCCGGTGTGAAATGCTCCAATTTTTTTGCTCACGGTTGACAACTTGCAAATGCCCATGTTTATATTGTTTTTCCTTCTTTTTTTTTTTTTTTTTAAGGATGTTTTATAATTGATAGTACCACCGCTCAAATACTTATCAGGTCTTCACAACTATTGATTGTTAGATCCTAAATATGAAATATTTTTGTCATTGTTTGTTCTTACGGCTTCTATTTTATTTTAAATTTACATTTTTACGTGTTTTTCTATTTGTGTGCACAACCTACGCATTCTGGGAGGCTATATGTTTTCCAATTACCCCAGGATGAACCGTGTGCATATACATAGTCTATTGTGTGCAGTGGGGGTTTGCAAGTGTGGCACACACTCGTGCATGAATGTGGTAACATTTGTGCACACTTGTGCACTATTATGTGCATTTCTCCAACGTACGACAGCTTTACCATACACTTCAGATTGCTGAATGCATAATTAAAGTAGATTTGCACCCACTAAATCACATTCATGCATACGTCGCAAACCAGTAATTTCGTGTGCACATACGAACTAAAATGTGTGCACTTAATGTCTTAATCCACTGCACGGGGATTACTTTTTCGTTTTTATGCATGCACCAACTAATCAGTTAACTATTTATTTGTAAATCATGCACGTATGTAACAAAAGGCAGATTTCCAATTTCCATGTTCACACAACTGTTCACGTCTATGCACACATTAATTCTATTATGAAATTCCTCATTTTTTGTCATCTTTAAAAAAACCTTGCACGTAGTTACATGTGTCTGTGCACACATTAAATATGGATCCACCTATGTGCACGTATGCACATTCATGTGTGCAAGGCAACCACTAACTGTGCTACACAAAATACACTAGGTGTTGTCTACTTCTTGTGTGCGCCTTCACCCACAGACGTGTGCACGCTAACCCACATATTGTTCATTCACGGAAGCATGCTACATTGAAAATCATGAATTATAGTGTTATATTTATTCAATTATATGTCTTGTTAGAAAACAAATAGGTTTTCAGTCTATTTAAATCACAGTCCAACTACTTTTATATTTGTATTTAATACATTGCAAATTCTATTCTTCTTATGGTCTTATAAGTCATTTAAGAAAACAAACGAAGTGTAGTGTATTTAGTATGCACGAATTTGAATTAATGTCTGTGTGCATTTCATTAAAACACAAATATGTGTTCGTGAATGCACACAGTAACCACCATTATGAATCCATCACGTTTTTCGTGTTACATTTATACGTGCACATAGTTTCGTGTGGGTGTGCACACTGTGGTACATGGCGTTATACGTGCACATAGTTCAGGGGATGTACATTATTTTTGTACTGAGTGTACATTATATTGTATAATATATTTTCAGTACAAAAATAATGTGCATTCAGTATATTAAAAATGTACTTTTTATTATGGTCCACATAACACTGTGTGGACTATGATGCACACAATAATTTGCCGCCCCTCATCAACTCCCAATTATTCTGCATCTTCCCTTCCCTCATAGACGTTCGTGTGCTTCTTGAGAATTACTGTCCTTCTTACATTCAAATTCAAATCCTTCCCTTAATTAAGGCTTGCATTGAAATTGAATCATCCCTTAATTATAATTCCTATGATCCTGCGTGATATTCTTTAATTTCTAATATTATCCAATTTTACATTGTGAATGCATTACCTTAATTACCCTTATTTTAGATTACGCTTCTAATTAGTATATGCTGGGTTCTCTAAATCTGAGTCGTCAAATCTTCTAATCCAATGGTCTCATTTTGTCCACAAGTTTGTATTTTAAGGATGTTTGCATGTGAATGCAACCATATATATATATATATATATATATATATATATATATATATATATATATATATATATATATATATATATATATATATATTTATTTATTTATTTATTTATTTATTTATTAATGACCAAATTATTCTTTCCATAAACAGAATATATATGAATTTACATAAATGGCCCTAAGTTTGGGGGGGGGGGGGGGGGGGGGGGGGAAATTGGTTTGGAGGATTTTACTTATATATATATATATATAGATATATAGATATAGATATAGATAGACTAGTATAGTATCCGTGCCACGGATAATAACATATTTTCACTTTTTTTTTTTAGATAAATTCTTTTTATTTTCACTAGTATAGTATCCGTGCCACGGATAATAACATATATTCAATAATTATATTATTTATTAAATTTAAATAATGTAAATAAATATTCAAAATATTATATAATATTTTAATAATATTTTATTATAATAAAGTATAGAGTTAATTCCTCCGAAAATTAACCACATGTGGTTTTTTTTTTTTTTTTTTTTTTTTTTTTTTTTTTTTTTTAAGAATTAGGACCAACGAGTGGTTATTTTTTAAAACATGGAAGACCATTGGAGGTCATTTAAAACTCGGATGACCACAACTAGTAAATTGCTAATACTCGGAGGACCATTGGAGGTATTAATTCGTAAAGTATGTATAGTCCCTAATACCAAATATAATTTTGCTTTATGTTTTCCAATAATGCTCTTAGTGACATCACCACCGGAAACCCAGAGTAGAGCCGCATCGGTGGCAACACGCACGGTGGAGGACCAGGACCTCCTAGAATGTAGTACTAAAAAATCCAAGACGACCGGCGACACTCCACCATCCTTCGTGGAAGGGGTCGCGATGGATGAAGTTGAATAGACACCAGGAGGACGAAAGTGAATTCAATGCCTCAACCTGATAATGATACGGGGGTCAACCGGGAACTTCCAACAGAGACACAACAGAAGGTACCACCAGAGGCACAACCGAGGGCGGTTTCATTCAAGGACATGCTGACTGGAGAAACACCCAAAGAGGGACTACAAGAATACCCTGAATCGGACGATGATGATGTGGACTTAGACGAGGACCCGGAATGCCCTGAAATCCCATTAACTAGAGAAGATAAAATCTGGATGAGAAAGTCATGGCGTCAATCTCTAATTGTGAAAGTTCTAGGCAGAAAGGTGGGGTATACATCTCTAGCAAGACGCCTCAACGCCATCTGGAGACCCAAGGCGAAGATGGATGTTGTAGCTCTGGACGATATCTACCATGTGGTAAGATTTTGGTCTGTTGATGATTACGAGTTCACGAAGTACGGAGGCCCATGGACAGTGATGGATCACTACTTGATCGTGCAAGATTGGAAACCAAACTTCAACCCAAAATCGGACAAGACTGAATGTGTGTTGGTCTGGGTACGTTTTCCAGACCTTCCTATGGAATATTACGACTACCCATATCTAATGAAGTTGGGGAAGAGGATTGGAGAACCTAAGTTCATTGATGAATCGACAAGCGTAGGATCAAGTGGCCGTTTTGCGAGAATGTGCGTTGACGTTGACATCACCAAACCACTCTTATATAAGTTTTAGGCCAAACTGAAAGTCAGAAAGATTGAATATGAAGGGATCTACCATGTTTGCTTCCATTGTGGGATATACAGACATGCAGCAGAGAAATGCCCCCGACGTATGTCAGAGGACGGCGTGGAGGCGGCAGAAACTGGTGGCGCTCCGGGCAAAGGGAGAAAAGAACCAAATATGGAAACAGATCAGCCGGTACTGATTCGACCGGAAATTGTGGAGAGGTACGGTGCTTGGATGTTGGCCCCCAAAAGGAAATATCGAGAGAATCAACATAACAAAGGAAAGAATAACATGCAGAATGGAAAGGATATTAATGGAGTTCAAAATCCTAACAGCTCCAAAGGCAACGGGAAGCACATGCAAAACGGAAAAAATAAAGGGAAAGAGACTGCTGATCAAGGGATAGGATACGATTCCATGTTTGCGGTCCTTAGCGAGGATATTGCGGAGGAGATCAATGAGACAATCGCAGAGCCGAGTAAGGGTAACCATGCAGAAAATCACGTGCGCAGAATGGAGAAAAATAAGGCCAAAATCAAGGAGAAGACCAAGCGCCCTAACGTCTAGGTTTCTGAGAAACAAATCAATAATGAGAAAAATAAGAGACCTCATCCCATGCATGCACCAAGCTCGAACCCCACAACCGTTGCAGCTGTGGCTAGCACGTCCCGCACCCCTGTTAGAAGCAACCAAGTAGCGCGGGCGACACGCACACAGTCGCAAGGGGAAGCATGAGTGCAAAGACCTCGGTGAGCACCATCTGCCCTAACCATAATGATATTTCTGCCGCACAGGTAAGTATGGAAGTAGACTGTCATGAGCTTATTGGAGACCCTCCTTGTAACACCCCAAAATTTCGAAACTTTTAAAACTTATATAATAAAGGTAAACTCTCATTAAATCCCAAAACGGAGTATTACAAAACATAAGAGTGCGGGGTGCTATGCCACATCTGAGCTGGAGAACTCAGATGCACAGGCTAAACTAACTAAATATCCTCAGTACATCATCATGGCACGCAGGCCGAAAGGAAAAACTATCTATCTAATCCAAGTTATTCTAGCGCACTCTAGAAGCTAATCATCTGTGCCTGAAAGCCAAATATATCTGTTGAGTGAATGATGCTGGTAACCCACTCCAACGCGTTGAAATGCAATATAGGTAAATATATATATAGATATATGAAAACCATTTTGAAGCAGGAAGATATATACTTAGGAGACTCTAGCTTTAAAACCAGGAATAAAGTCGACAGGTAGGGATAAGCACGTTAAACAATGATAATCAGTTAAATAGAGATAATATCATAAAGAACATGTATCTAAGGTCACAGTTCACTTTCAATCATTCACATCAATATTCAAACAACATTCATGTCACACAAGCACACTTTGGTGGCGCCATGGGACCAATTGCATGCCCCGAACATGAGGGTTAGTACATATAGTACTAACACGCCCCCGCAACACCCTACCTCATACCGCAGCATGAAGGAGTTGACCGCAGCCAACTATATAGACCGTCGATAGTTTCAACGGCGGATCACAGCCCTACACACCGCTGACGCGCTAAGTTGGTGGACTGTGATCCTCTTTTGGGGACTGCGACCCTACACACCGCTTGACGAGCTCAGTCGGTGGGTCATAACCGATCAAATCCCTACACACCGCCTGAGGGACTCATTCGGTAGGCAATGATCTTCGGGGACTACGACCCTACACACCGCTGGCACATACACTCGGTGGATCGCAGCCGAC